CGTGGGTGGGAGGTGGGTGCTGCTCTTAACGCGACAGGTAGGATGTAGGACCTGCCAGCGGGCTGGGGATCTTGGTGTCATCAGGGCCCAAGGCCAGGCTGCAAGGCAGGCAGCATTTATCTTGCTCCCTCCTGTTTCCTGGCTGACCCCCTTCTCTGAGAGTCTCAGCCCCTTACCCTCTGGCAGGGGCAGCATCCAGGACTTTCCTGCGACCTTTGCTGTGGGAGGCCAACCCCTCAGACAGTCTCTTCCGGGAGCGCTTCCCAATACGAGGCCCCCACTCACTCCAACAAGTAAATTCTTACGTTTTGAACCTAAGCGAAGAGACTTTAGCATGTAACCTCCCAGCTCAGATATGTTGTCTTATCTAGGTCTTAGAAAGAAAAGAATATAACTGGATAATAAAATAATTGAGACTAAAATACAAAAGGCAGTGGGCTTCCTGGAGGGGTGGCTTAGTTGCATTAGAGAACTCTTTACAGTTTAACTACATCCCTAATTCCTGGGCTACATGAGGGCATATTCCTAGATCAGGGCTCCTCCTGGGAGCTACTTGCCTTTTTGGGATGACTTCACTTTTCTGGATCAGCAAAAATGTTGTCAGTGACCTGACACTCTTCCTGAAATATTGCTGACCTCTGTGCTTTTATTTATGTTTTGAAGTACAGCACCCAAGGGGCTCTTTCATCTTTGCCATTTTGCTTAAATTTGTAACGCCTCCCTACCCTTATAACGTCATGTCACAGAGAGAAAATGCAAATCAGTACTTGGGAAGGGAGGGAATTCAGAGTCTGGAGGAGGCCGCTCTGGCTGGAAGGACTCTGGTGCCTGAGGCCCCTCCGGCCACCCTGAGGGTGCAGCTGCACAGGGGTTGGGAAGCTACCAATTAGGTGTGTGGTGACAGCTTAGTTATAACCTCGTGGTCCAGACTGTCCATCTCCCAGGATTTGACAGATCATGGCCCATTATTTTCAGCAAAACAAGGTAGTCAGAGAAGCAGGAACCACACTTGCTGCTTGGGTATGAGAAGATGAAAACATTGTAGATACAAGATGTTCATATGGTTGGATGTGCAGAACCTGGAGTCCAAGGGGTTTGGAAATCAGCAGGTGCTATCTAGACTCTTGGAATTGGAGCTGCACGGGAAGAATCCAAAATGAAGGTGGGATCCCAGCCAGTGGGTAAAGCACAGTAGGAGAGAATATCAGGGGGAGAAGCACATAGGCGACTGGCCAGCTGGTATCGGGGAAGCGGGGGGCCTGGCTGCCTAGGTTGGGATTAGGAGGCAGAGGGCCTCCTAATGGGAGATGGCCCGGCAAGAACCAAGTAGGAACGTAGGGCCTCTGTCCCTCGGATCAGGACCGGTCCTGAGAATACGAGGAAACTGCACCGACCTGTGGAATCAGGTGCCCCTGCTGTGGAAGGAAGGAGAATTGAGAGGCTGAGGACCCTCCCGGGCGTGACACCACCTGCCGTGATTCAGTGCCAGCCACTCCAGCCCCCCCCTCCCCGCCCCCTGCCCCATTACAACCAGCAGCGGAGCCCCCAAGGACGCTGCTGCGTCCTTATTTTTCTCTTTCTCCTCAGATGTTAAAAATTCTACTTAAATATTCTGAAAAGCAAAACTAGTATTTTTAATGGCAGCCATTTTTATGTTTCCTTCTGTTTATCAGGAGGGCTACTAGGATCTCAGTTTCCAGTCTCTCCAGAAATCTCTCTTAAAGTTTGTCTGCAGCTGCCGAGCAGTTTTTCACTCATTTAGCGTTCGCCCTCTATTCATCTGTCTTGCTGATGAACTTGGGCCTGACATATTTTATAAATTAGTTGGTTGAACTGTATAAAATTCCCAATATCCTACTGTCTCTGACTTTTAAAAACTGTATAGTTCCTGCTCTCTCTTCCTTCTTTTCCTGCCGACAGCAAACACATGTTGAATTAAGGAGGGATGGGGAGCTGGTCTGCTGCATCAGAAGAACCCCGCCTCCCCCAGGAGGCCCTCTCAGGCCTTCCCTCCTGGCCTGCGGTTTTCATGCCTCCTTATCATGGTCCGTTATGAGCTTAAATTTGAATATGCCACTTACCTGTCTGTCAAGAAGCTATCATTTTACCTTGACCAACAGAGCCTTAAGTCACAGAAATTTCAGCTTATGTCAGCAATTTTCTAAAAAGACTGTGTCTTCAGAACCTTTTCCCCCAGTATTTGGCTAAATCAAAAGTGAGCGTTAAGTAGCTGTATCACACCTAGGACAACCACTTCAATCAGATTTTTCCTATGTGTACAGATTTATGCAGTCACGTATGTTCTTCCAAACACACACACACACACACACACACACGCACGCGTGCGCGCGCATGAGTAAGGGTCTACATGTGCAGGAGGGCAGGCTGACATTTGGGATGTCATCTCTTTAACATAAATATTTCTCTGCATTGAACACAAGTAAGCACAGTGTTGCAATCCAGAAACTTGTTCACAGCAGAGCCCAGGTGGAAAATGGTGCAGACAATGCAACCGAAAGCCCCCTCATCCTGTTCCTTTCGTACCTTCCCTTTGTCTCCCATCATTATCTTCTTTCAGGTTCTCCACCAGCATCTTCTGCAAAATATGTTTTTGTCATTTAATATGGGGTGGGCCAAAAAGTTCGTTTTGGATGTTACGGAAAAACTGGAACGGACTTTTTAGCCAACCCAGAATATTCTTTTGAACGTCATGCTTTTTTCTGATCTGTATAATCCTGAGATACTTTCTCATATGCGCCGCCTCCCACAATCGAGCAATATTCCATTCTACGGATGCTCCGAGGCGTTGCATTTAGTCTTGCATGCCTGAGTACCTGAGAGACAAAGAAGAGCTAGAATGGGATTAGGAAATAAATGAATGTTTAAATGAGTAAAAGAGTGATTAATGAATGAAGATTGAGGGAAACAAAATTTCTCTCAGCTTAAGCAAGTACTGAGCAAGAGGATGAATGGTAGCTTCTACAATCCTGGATAGATAAGCCTGAGGAAGAGACAGCAGGAGTGTCATGCAGTACTAGTCATGTGGGGTAATTACATGGAATTTAGAAAATTCATGACCGTAATGATCATTAAAAAATCTCAAATTGGGAGTATATATTAGATGGATAGCAAAGCTTCTGAGTGGTAGTGTCTTCATGAAAACTCAGCTGTGCTTAAAATAAACATTTCCCCATCTCCCTTAGGTTAGCCTAATGCCTTTCAATTTTCATCTGCAGAAAGTTCTTTCTAAAAATCTCCCTTAAATCTCATATGCTGCAGCCTAAACCAGTTGGTCCTGCTGGAAACTGCTTTATCACCTCTGCACTTCTCATCCAGGACCCAGCATGGGCTGACTTATTTTCCCCTAGACATTAACCGTGGCAAACCCTGTACTGCTTTCCCTGTGAATGCTTGCCTTGGCTACACTTTGCACAAAAATTACATTCCTTTTCTTTGATGGTGCTAAAAATGTTTTCCCACTTCTGCCCACGTGATTGATGCTAATAATTAAGTGATTTATTTTGGGGTTTCCCAAGAAGGTGCCCGGTAACTTTGGGAAATTGCTTATCCTGTGTGAGCCTGTTTTCTAACCTAGAAAAAAATATGTCAATGCCATCTTTGGGTATTTAGTACTAAATATTAGAGATAATATATGTAAAACACCTTGTATTGCAATGGGTCCATGTAAACACTCAATAGGGGTAGCTTTTGTTCTTATTATAAATTGTATTTATTCGTATATATCCCAACTTCTTCACTAGATTTATATTCTCCAAAGTGCTTAGCATGTAGCACATGCTCAGTTAGTGGGTTGTTGAATCAATAACGGAATAAACTAAGAAGTAGTGCCAATTAATATTAACTACAGAACATGCATCCACAGGGGCGCCCCTGTCTGGCAAAGTACAGGTCCACCCTGGCATATTGGGCAAGGCTGGTGTGTTATCAGAACCACCCCATCCCAAAGTCCAGAAGGCCCGTTCTAGATCCAGGTTGGTACTAAAGTCCTCTGAGGTTAGACTGTGTATAAGTGCTCCCTGGAAAACTCAAATCTACTGTAAAACAGAGGAAAACTGCATTGCTCCCTGATTTTATCATGACTTTAAAATACCAAAAGCAAACTTTCACATATCAGAAAGGATTTATTGTGCACCATATACCAGCAAATTTATAGTAAGCAGGAAGTGAGTTCCTAAAAAAAGAGCCAACTGCCAAGGTACTGATGCATCTGAGTCTGTGCTCCCCAAATGTAAAGGATGACAGCACTGTCGTAATGAGAGCAGCTACCGTGTGTGTGTGTGTGTGTGTGTGTGTGTGTGTGTGTGTGTGTGTGTGTGTGTGTGATTCCTCGTGGTCACAACAGCCCGTAGGAGCTGGATCTGATTTTCCCATTTCACTGGAGGGGAACTGGAGCTCGGTGGACCAGCTCCCTCAGGGTTGTGGGCGGGGAACCGTCTTGCCTGGTTGGCCCCTGACAGCATCTGCCTGGTTCCCGGCAGCACAGAGATTGGGGGCCTCTGGGGACAGGAACGTGGGCACAAAAATCTACCAGAGACAACCGATCACCTGTGGCAGGAGCCAGAGCCTCTGCCCTGAGCCTGCTGTCAGCCTCCTAACACATCCTGGAGTCAGGATTCAGCCTTGACTGTGGTCTCTCCTCTTTCACCCACAACCGGCCCTTCACATTCAAACACAAAACTTCCTAGCTGGTTTCAGGAGGATGAAGCAGTCATCCAGATACAGTATTTCTGGGTACATGAATGATAAGAAGTAAAAGCATGATATTCTCTGATTACTGGTAAAGATGTTTAGTTACCCCATAGTATTTTGTGATACAGGTAGTCAAATTAGAGCTTGAATATTGGAGGATACAAACTGAGTTAGGTGTTTACATGACATTTTCGCTGCTCCATTGGATGTACACCTTTAGGTTATTCTTAGATTTTTAAGGTTTTTTTTTTTTTTTTTTTTTTTTGGCCTCACGGCATATGGGATCTTAGTTCCCCGACCAGGGATCGAACCCAAGCCCTCTGCGTTAGAAGCGCAGAGTCTTAACCGCTGGACCACCAGGGAAGTCCTTTAGATTTTTAAGTTTTTTAGATTGTGAAAACCGTATTGCTGATGACTGTACCTGTAATGTCTGCTGACTGGTGTCTATGGTCTGGCACCTGAGATCTTCGCAAAGGACAATATGAAAAGAAACTTAACCTGAGTGTGTTCAGTGAAAGGAGAATGTCTCTATTCAGCTTTTCAATAGTGGATGTATGTCTGTTGCAATGACAGTACAGCCCTGATGTATCACCCTAAACTGACACCTGTGCTCTCATTTTTATACAAACCAGTGCCTTTGGCTGCCCGTATTCGGACATGAACTTGAAAAAGGAGGCAACGCTTCACGATCGTCTGCGAGAACAAACACAGGCAAACGTGGACTCAGACTCTGCACATTCAAAATCGAAAAACCTCTGTAGTTTGAACTTCAATGGAAAACATGAAAAGGTGAAGAGCCAGTCCAGGTAAGGAACTTCTGAAAATGTGAACCAGAGAGTAAAGTGTGTAGAACAGAAAAGAACAAACTTGTGGGTAATAATAGTTTCTTGTGTTTCTTCAAAATCTTTCTTTATTCTGTATATTATTGTGTTCACTGGCTCATAGAATTCATCTAAGCCTTGACATTTATTTGAAAAATATTTTTTCTTACTTCATCCTCAAAAATTTGAATTTACCTCTAAGTGTAGATATTACATGTAGGCAACAGAAAGCAAATCTCACGTGTAAATTCTGTAAGACTCCCTGTATCTCTGGAGTCATCTCACAGGTGGCATCTCTCTGGGCACGTGGCCCAGTGTTCGCATCCTCTTGGTCCCATCAGGATCCCCTTGCTCACCTGGTACTTGTCATCTTTAATCCAAAAGTCCCTCAGGTACGATTTCCTTACTCTGAATAGTTCCTGTTTCGATTTATCAATGGCACATCATCCTTTTGTTCCTAAATGTAAACTTATGACTTTAAGGATCAGTTCTCAATTTTTATTTACTTATAATCATTTTCTAAGAAGCTACAGATGCAACCTTATTTGCTCTTTTTTAACCTAAATGAGTAAATAAATAACATTTTAAGATAAAAGTTTCATCCTCCATGCTGGGAATTATAAACACAGGAGAATCTAATTACAAGTAAACAACTGGAGACCCGACGGAGATGGAGCCATGAAAGGCTCGGCAGAGGTGAGAAGTGGGTGTTTTTCAGGCCCCGCTGCAGGCAGAAGGCGCTGGCATTCAAGGTTGAGCTTTCGAGGAGCTGCTATGGGAGGGGCTGCTGGTTCTCCGGACCACCATCACCCACCCCCGGCCCCCCACAGCCCTCGCCCAGCCCTGCCCTTCCCGTCCAGCACGTGGGAGAGGAATGTGCGTGCCTCTCTCTGCGAGGGCAGACTTTCCAGGAACCCCTTTCTGCCCTTTCACCCTTCAGTCCCAGCGTGGATGCTCCTTTACTGTCAAGGTCTGTTCACTGGGAGAGTTTGGCTCCTAGGACACACTTTTCACGTGGAGTTTACATCCTGGACTGTGCCTTTTCTTCTTTTTATAGAGCATCTAGGCGACGTTGCATTTTCGTTAAGCAGCTGATTTTGAGCGTGGTCACTGTGCACGGGGCCACCCGTCACCCTCCGCAGCGCGCGCCCCATCCTCTTCCTCCGGGTACCGCACAGCCCCTCTGCCGCATGTTATCTTGGTTTTCTCCTTTGCTGTACACCCACTCCTCTTGCCGGAACTGTACGGGGTCTAGTTTTTCTTTACTGCTTTTCACACCCACACCATTTACAACTTCAAGTGGCTGAGAGCTCGAACAGCTTTTCCATTTCCTAGTTGAGGGAGTTTTTTCTTTTTTTTTTTAAAACTGTTTTCCAGGGAACAGCGCTTGTTTATTCCAGAGACCAGTGCATCCATTTGCTGTTACTCTTTTTGTTCTGTTATCTTTCTTCCCCCCAAATAAAAACTCAGCCTCTCTTGTGAACATTTTAGACATTCATCCCCAATGTCAAAAGTCAGAGAGAATAAACAGCTCTTTGAACTGTTTTAAAAAACGATGACTCCGTCGTGTTCTCTCGGAGGTGAGCCCGGCCTTTCTCTTCAGCACAGGTGTACGGCTCCCCCGTCCCTAACTCGCCTTTCAATACATCGTTGTGTGCTTTACCGTTTTGAGGGGTTTTTGCACTGAAATGTGTCAAATAAGCATAATTACTACAGATAGAAAAAGCAGAGAATGTTAGTTGATAACCAAGCAAAACAATTACACATGATCCTATTGTATCAGATCCTGTTTCATGAATGCACAGAGCTGTGTGAGCGGCTGCGCGGAAGAGGGAGAGTCTCACGGTCCACATCTCGAATTGTTAAGCCTTCTTTTTCTTTCACATCCCAAGACCAAAGCCATTCTTGCACTCCAATCCCCGTCTTCTTTTTTTAAACCAGTCGTCACAACAAAACGATGTTCGGGTCAAGTGGTCTTGGCAGTAGTACTCACTTTGACCTACTTCCATCCCCATGACCTCCTGTTCACAGTCCAGAATTCCAGCTCAAAGACAAAAAGAACAAGGAAATCGACAAGGAAGAATATGTAGGCTAATGATGAGCAGCTAAAATTTATTTCAACTCTTCTCACAGTTTACTTGTGGTAATCTCCTGAGGCTGCCTCTCCTCTAACCCAAACCTTTGCTCTTAAAATCACAAGATACCGTGTACAGGTGGAGGAGAATGTTTAAATCCCATCTCTCCTCTTCTACATGCCGAGGAAAAATAATTTGTGGTTGGCACGTGTCCAAGGATAGACAAGGGGGTGAAATGAGTGAAAATCAGGTCTTTAATTTCCTCTGGCGTCCAGTGTATCCATGGTCTCTGAGCCCTGGACAAGCCTGCTCTAACTTCTCACACAAGCAACGCTGTCACCTTAGCATCTCCAGGCTTCTTGCAATTCCAGTGCAAAATATAAAATTATCTCTTGACCTTCTTACAAAATCAATTAGATGCTGCCCAAAAGTTTAGGGAATTGTGTATTTTCCTTAACTGCATCCCAGTTTTGTGTTTAGTTTTAAAAAGCATGTTTGTTCTCATGTTAATCTTTGGAGAGGGAGTTGTTATTAGTACATTTTAAGTCTCCATGATTTAGCAGTGGAAATAGTCTGTTTATGTTCACATTTTCTTAGTAGAGGGTCACGTTATGAATTCGAGCGCATTATATACTACTAAATGTTTATGGGATTCATCTTCACAGTAGTACGACTGCATGTTAATATAAGTTTAAAGAGTCAGATTCACATTAGGTCGCCATTACTGAAAAACTGTTATGCTGTGGGCTTCCCTGGTGGCGCAGTGGTTGAGAGTCTGCCTGCCGATTCAGGGCACACGGGTTCGTGCCCCAGTTCGGGAAGATCCCACGTGCCGCGGAGCGGCTGGGCCCATGAGCCATGGCCGCTGAGCCTGCGTGTCTGGAGCCTCTGCTCCGCAACAGGAGGGGCCACAACAGTGAGAGGCCCGCATACCTCAAAACAAACAAACAAACAAACAAACAACTGTTATGCTGTAAATATATTCCCTCTTTTGGTGCTAGTAGAGTGATTAGTACTATATTCATGGTGCATTAAGCGGAGGCAAATGACCTTAACACTTGAGCATCTTTCATCTGGGAACGTACTCTAGGGTGGATACCTTAATTTGTTTGACAGTTTATAGTTTTCAGATACATTACCTTTAAAGTTTCCCATAATCTTGTGATTTAGGCAAAACAGACATTATTGTCATTATATTGTATATGTTATATATACATATATACAACTATATATATGTTGTATATATAGTATTGTCACTTATTGATGAAGAAGTAGAGGTTCTTACTAGTAGCTAATCCAGGACATAGGTCTTCTGGTTAAATCCAGCATATTCTTAGTTCAGTAAACTGATAATGGCAACAAGAGATTTCTCAGCAGTAATACTAATACTGATATCATACACTTACTAGCTTGTGCTGCAAAGCGTTGTGCTGAACAGTTCACATACATGGTCTTGGGAATTTTATTTCATCCTCACAACAACTCTGGTTTTATAATGTAGGCACCTGGAGATTCAGAGAGGTTAGGCAAAGCATGCAGGACCACACAGATAATTAGTAGAAAAGGTGAGGTCTGAGTCCAGAACTACCTGACCCTAAATCCTATACATGTTTTCAATGGCATCAGGCTGGCAAAAGGATGGCAGTTGGAGGCTCTGAAGATGCCTGGCTGGGTTTATGTTTAGACTTTCTACTGCTCTTCAGGATTCTCAGGGTCATCTTGTGAGGCATTTATTTCTTATTTTGTGAACACAGAACTGCTGAAGGGGAAGAATCTCAACCATGTTTGCCCCAAACTGTTTATTCTTATGTATACTATATAATGCAAGTCTTCCACCTGAACACGTTTCTTTGTACTAGGTACTAAAGGCTTTGATCTGCAACGGGGGAATAAAATTATACTCATCAGACAGTTTCATCATAAGAAAATTACTTGAAATGCAGCTCCCTCCCCACGCCCTATATTACGTCAGCTGGCTTCCCCGGGCCTGTGTAGGACATTTTGTCCAGTCCCCTTCCCCGTCCACCTGGGTATTCTTTAAGAACAACTTCTGCCTCTAATTTACACAGTCGGCAGGACCATTAGTTAAAAAAGCTGTCATATTCAATCACGGCTATTAAGAAAACCTAAGAAAATGCCTAATATAGCTCAGTTTGTTTTTCATAACGCCTGCCATATTATAAGTTTTACGTACTTCCCAAAGGCCTATATAGACAGTAAAAATGGCTGGGAAAGATTATGGTCATCGCAGAGAATGGCAGGCAGTGGAGTAGTTCCTTAATGATCCTCATAGTAAACTGCTCAGCTATGAGCCAACTAGCTTGTTTGCACGACTCAGATTACCTTCTATGAGGTCCGTTCTCAGAATTTAACCAGTGTTAGCCGGTTGTTTCGTGTATGAACCTTCCAAGTCCTTAAAGAGGCTTCCTTGAGTCCGTCAGCCTTTGATCTTGCTCCTTCCCATGTA